TGGTGAGATTCGAACTGTCAAACTGCAGGCAGCCGGCGGTCAGCAGAAAGTAGCCTGCAATACTGCACTCTAAGCACTGCGCCACCGTGGCTCTTTTTCATGGCCTTTCTCTTCTCTGTCTCTGCAGTGGTGGGAACAAGCGGAAACTGAGTGCAGGGATTTCTCTCATTGGTGGACCTCCTGTGGTGTTCCTGGATGAACCTTCCACCGGCATGGACCCTGTGGCCAGGCGATTATTATGGGATGCAGTCGCTCGGACACGGGAGTGTGGGAAGTCCATCATTAGCACTTCTCACAGGTTGGGCCTGTTTCTCTGTCTTCCATCACCCTGGGGAGAGGATACGGATTTCTGGCCATCTTTAGGCCAATGTTTCTCAACCTTGGCTGGTGCTTGAAGATGTGTGGACTTCCAACGCCCAGAATTCTCTAGAAATTCTCAGAGTAGGGCAGAGGATCTTTGGTTTTTTTTTTAAATTAAGGTAAAGATCCCCCTCGCACATATGTGCTAGTCGTTCCTGACTCTAAGGGGTGGTGCTCATCTCCGTTTCAAAGCCAAAGAGCCAGCGCAGTGCGAAGACATCTCCGTGGTCATACAAAAATACTGGGAGTGGACCAGCCCTACCGTAGGATACCGGTTCTTTTTCTTTCTGCTGAGTCCTGGATTCCCTGTGCCTACAAGTCTTTTGTTGGTTGACTAGCCGATAACCTGGCATTGCCCGGGTATTTATTTATAGGGGTAAAACGTCCAGACCAAACGTAATTTCTAATGTTGGATTTTCCCCCTTACCAGAGGGAACCCCCTTGTGGAGTACTGTGAAGCCGTTACCATAGCAACCCCACTGCGCTGTACAGTAGAAGCCATTTTACGGCAGTACAGTAGAAGCCATTTTAAGGCACAACAGGCTTTATCTTAACAAAACACACACCCTGGGGGATGTTAAGGGTGTCTTATCCCCCATACATTTTTCTCCAGAGAGTAAGTCATCTGTGTACCAAGTTTGCTTGAAATTGCAAAAGAGGGAGAGGGAGAGAGAGAGAGGGAGGGAGGGAGAGAGAGAGATTACATGTCCCTCATCTCATGATTGGAGTGACTATGGGTGGATTACAAGTCTTGCGCTTGCTGCTCTAAACGTCTACATTCCCTCCCCTGCAGCATGGAAGAGTGTGAAGCTCTGTGCACCAGGTTGGCCATCATGGTCAACGGGCAGTTCAAGTGCCTGGGCAGCCCTCAGCACCTGAAGAGCAAGTTTGGCAGTGGATATACCCTGCTGGCCAAAACCCACTGGGATGAAGAAGGCCATGTAGAAGACTTCAAGGCCTTTGTGGAGAGGACATTTCCCGGTAAGCCAGCTGTGTGATCATGCATGTCTTCCAGCTGCTTGTATCAGACCAGCCTGCCACCTACAGGTAGTCCTTATGACCGGTGACTTGTTGACTATTCAAAGTTGTTGTTGGAACACGTGACATGGTTTCAAAGTTCCAANCTGGCTGCTGGTGGCCCACAACACGTTCTTAGGAAGAACTTGATAGATGCATAAAAATGTCAAATCCAATCTACCAGCACATAATGATAAACAATTTTTTATAAGTCTGCAGTAATAAAGAAAATGATAATGAATAGTATTAGCAGCAATGAGGCCAGCTCCGTGTGTTATACATCTGACACCATTGTGTGTGTCCCCCCCACCCCACTTCTGTTTTTCCAGGTGTACAGTAGCAGGGATTCTTGTCTGGCTGTGGACCGAATCTCTCTTGCAGTCAGCAAGGGGGAATGTTTTGGTCTTCTGGGTTTCAACGGGGCAGGCAAAACCACGACCTTCAAGATGCTAACGGGGGATGAGAGCATCACTTCGGGAGATGCTTATGTGGATGGACACAGCATCCTGGCCAATATCAAAAAGGTAATGGGAGAGTCGAGACAAGAGTGGCGGGGTGACCTAGAGAGGGAGCTTTCGCCCCACAATCAGGAGGTTGTGACTTCGATCCTAGGCAGTGGCAGATATATTTCTCTCTTTGGGCACAATTGTCTGCTGTGAACACCATATAAGTGTCAGGAAAGGCATCCAGCCAATAAATGCTCAGCTCCATTCAGTTGCCCCAACTCCACCCTGACGCAAGGGATTACAGGGTCATTACAGGGGAGTCAAGAACAAAACAACACCTATTCTTGACGAAGTTGACAAAGTTATGGATTCCAGTTCTGGCACTTTGGGACCCTAAGGCTTTCTCCCAAACCCTCATAGACCAACATTGAGCATTTGGAAGGAAAAGACACAATTGCTAGGTGCAACTAGGATCCTCTTATCTTGCTGATTTTCATGCTTACATGTCTACGTATAGAAGTTCAAGGAGACCAAGTGGAAATTGTCCCTCATTTGTATCACACTCCTATGACTGAATATGAGTACTTTATGGTTTGTGGTTGAGCAACAACTTAAATTTGGGTCTTCTTGGTCTCACTTGAGCCCTCTAAGCTGGTTTGGAGAAGTATCCTGGTGACTACTAGCTGTGGGAGCTAGTTTGTCCAATGTTGACATCTACACAAAGAAACCAGGATAGTTGAGATCATCAACCTCCCATGAACTGGTAGGCCGGAGATGTTCTTCTCAACTTGATTTGATCTGCCTTCAGGTCCAGCAGCGGATTGGCTACTGTCCTCAGTTCGATGCGCTTTTGGATCACATGACTGGAAGGGAGACCTTGAGCATGTACGCCCGACTGCGGGGCATCCCTGAACGGTACATCGGCAGCTGTGTGGAGAATATGCTTCGCGGGTTGCTCTTAGAACCTTACGCCAACAAACTCATCCGCACATACAGGTGAGAAGCAGCGGGGTGCCCCTCCTACACTCATCCACGATGGGAGGTGGGACAAAGTGGGAGAAGAGGCTTTGTTTCATGATTAGAAATGGCTGGAGGCAGCTGGGAGGGCCCCACCGCTCTTAGCACTTAGCAATAGACTTATATTCCCTTCCCTTCTTTTCTCTTCCTTTCCGTTCCCTTCTCTTCTCTTCCTTTCTCTTCCCTTCTTCTCTTCTCTTCCTTTCTCTTCCATTCTCTTATCTTCCTTTCCCTTCCCTTCCCCAAATTTGGGTGTGGAGGGGGAGAATAGCAATAGCACTTAGACTTATATACCACTTCACAGTGCTTTACAGCCCTCTCTAAGCGATTTACCGAGTCAGCCTATCGCCCCCAACAATCCTCACATTTTACCCACCTCCGAAGGATGGAAGGCTGAGTCAACCTTGAGCCAGTCAGGATCGAACTCATGGCAGCCAGCCAAGTGAGCCTGTAAGACTGCATTCTAACCACTGGGAGGGAAGGAGATAGAAATAACATTTAGACTTATATGCCGCTTCACAGTGCTTTACAGCCCTCTCTAAGCGATTTACCGAGTCAGCCTATCGCCCCCAACAATCCTCACATTTTACCCACCTCCGAAGGATGGAAGGCTGAGTCAACCTTGAGCCAGTCAGGATCGAACTCATGGCAGCCAGCCAAGTGAGCCTGCAAGACTGCATTCTAACCACTGGGAGGGAAGGAGATAGAAATAACATTTAGACTTATATGCCGCTTCACAGTGCTTTACAGCCAACTCTTAAGCAGTTTACAGCGTCAGCCTCTTGCCCCCAACAATCTGGGTCCTCATTTTACCCACCTC